TTGTTCCATTTACAGCGTAGAGGCGGAGTAGATACAGCATGATTCTGAAGGGCCCTGGGATTTCAGAATGGTTCATGGACACTGGCTTCCACTTAGAGTCACCAGCTGCATTAGCCCCTCACAAGAGAGTCGGCCTGTCCTTTGAAGCTTTGAAGCCAGGCATTGACTTTTCTCCGGTTATGAAAGCCCTAGATGGCATCTTCTTCAACAGAAGGCTGTTGGGTCTACACTGACAGTCTGTTGTTGAGTGTAGCCACCTTCCTGAATTCTCGGAGCTAGATCTTCTGGATGATTTGCTGTAGCTTCTCCATCAGCACCTGCTGCTTCACCTTGTCCTCTCATGGAGACACCTTCTTTCCTTAATGCTCACCAGCCAGTCTCTGCTAGCTTCAGATTTTTCTTCTGCAGCTTCCCCACCTCCCTCAGCCTTCACAGAACTGAAGACAGTTAGGGCCTCGCCATGGGTTAGGCTTTGACTCCGGGAATGTTGTGTTCCATCCAGACCACTCAGACTTTCTCCATATAAGCTATAAGCTTGTTTCACTTCACTTATTCATGTGTTCACTGGACTAGCGCTTTTTTTTAAATTTTTTTTTTTTTTACTATTTTTTAAAGATTTTATTTATTTGACAGAGAGACACAGCGAGAGAGGGAGCACAAGCAGGGGGAGTGGGAGAGGGAGAAGCAGGCTTCCCGCGGAGCAGGGAGCCCGATGCGGGGCTCGATCCCAGGACCCCGGGACCATGACCCGAGCCGAAGGCAGACGCTTAACCACTGAGCCACCCAGGCGTCCCTGCAGGGTTATTAATTGGCCTAATACCAATATTGTTGTGTCTCATAGACTAGAGACCCAAGGAGAGGGGAGAGACAAGGGGACAGCTTAGTGTAGCAGTCAGAACACTCAGAACAGTCTGCTCCGCGGGAGTCCCTCTCCCACTCCCCCTGCTAGTGCTCCTGCTCTCGCTGTGTCTCTCTCTGTCAAATAAATAAATAAAATCTTTAAAAAAAACAAAACACAGAACATTGATTAAGTTGGCCATCTGATACAGGCACAGCTCACGGCACCCCAAACCAATCGTAATAGTGTCATTAATGATCAAATATAAGAATGAAAATATTTGAAACTGTGAGAATCACCAGAATGTGACACAGAGATAACAAAGTGAGCAAATGGTGTTGGAGAAAATGGCGCCAACCAACATTGCGTTGCCAACAACCTTTGTAAAAAACTATCTGCAGGGCGCCTGGGTGGCTCAGATGGTTAAGCATCTGCCTTCGGCTCAGGTCATGGTCCTGGGGTCCTGGGATCGAGCCCCGCATCTGGCTCCTGGCTCAGCGGGAGCCTGCTTCTCCCTCTGCCTCTGCCTCTCCCCCTGCTCATGGTCTCTCTATCTTTGTGTCTCAAATGAATAAACAAAATCTTAAAAAAAAAAAAAACAACTCTGCAAAGTGCACTAAAATGAGGTCCCTGTAGTTAAAACCTGGAAGGGGAGACGTTGTGTATCCTTCTAGGCCCAGGACATTGCCCTCAGCAACCCCGCCTGGTCATCTTGAGGCAGGCGAATGAAATCGTTTTGCAGACCCTTCTCTCCCATTAGCTCTTTGGAAGAGAGAAAGACCATCCAACACAGATCTCTTCAAGTCAGATTTCTTGAAATCCTAGTGACTGTAATACTCGACATGCTTCAATATTATAGGTTCCAAGAATAAATTATACTTTTAGTGTTGGTTTTCCCATAAGTAGGATGTGTTTCAACTATTTTTTAATAATATGAAAAAGTTGATAAGTCTTAGGACCTATCTTAATATTTAAAAGAATAAATGACTTATGAAGAAAATTATCAGGCAGTATATTTTCATTTTAGGCACAGGCATTTGATTCCAGAAAGAATGGTTTGTCTTGTTTTCTTTTCAGTGTATTTATATCAAATATAAAAGTGAATCTATACTAACTCTCAAAAGTGAGTATTATTTTTGTAGCAGGCATTTAAGGTAATCAAGTGCTCTGTCTCCAGGGTTCCTCTCTGTGTCGTCTTGGCAGCCTAGTCACACTGCAGTGTTCTTGCGGCAGTGAGGATCTCTTCATCAGACGGACGCTGTGCGGTAGGAGACTCTGAACAGGGCTTGTGCCAGACAGAGGAGTTGTACTAGAGAATAAGAAGGGTAAATTGTCAGACTCTGTTGTTTAAAGGCTAACTTAGGAGAGATAATTTAAAGAAATTTAAGAAAAAAAACTGTATGTAATCCTAAAGGATGTCATTATATCCTTTAGGAAAACTCTTACATAAAATACAGATATTTTAGTTAATTCTTAAAAATTTATTTGAGCAGGGGTGCCTGGGTGGCTCAGTCAGTTAAGCATCTGCCTTCAGCTCAGGTTGTGATCTCAGGGTCCTGGGATCGAGTCTGGTGTTGGGCTTCCTGCTCCGCAGGGAGCCTGCTTCTCTCCTTCCTCTGCCCCTCCCCCTGCTTGTGAGCTCTCTGTCTCTCTCTCAAATGAATAAATAAAACCTTTAAAAAATTTATTTGAACAAAGTCTTAGGAATACTCATGGAAGTACGAATAATTTTAAAGACTTGTTTTTTTCATGGTAACAGAACTTGTGTAAAATTGCTGAGACAGGCAGGGAGCCGACCACAGTGGGAGGAGCTGGGTGGATGAGCTGTGGCAGCAGGAAGAGGGTTTCAGGGCCTGAAGACCATGGCAGGTCTAAAGGCCCTACTGCAAGGCCAGTGAGAAGGCATGGAAGAAATTAAAGCTGGAGAGTGTTACGAATAGATTTGTGCTTGTAAATGATATCGGCCCCACGCAGCAGCCTCTGGGGAGGGGAGAGCTTGCTGGAGGTTGAGCTCTATAAACTCTTGAACGGCCTTTTGGAGACTTGGCAGGTTGGTGAAAGCTTCCACCTGCTGGAGGGTAGTGCATCCCACCTCCACGGGGACAGGGATGATGCACTGGGGACCCTCCTGGACCTTACCCCATGTACCTCTTCATCTGACTGCTCATTTTTGTCCTTTATAACAGACCAATAAGCTCAAGTGAAGTTTTTCCTAAATTCTAGGAGTCATTCTAGAAAATTACCAAACCTCCTTTGAGGGGTTGTGGGAACCCCTGGACCTGCAGTGTGCCCAGCAGAAGTGTGAGTAGCCTGGCACTACGTGTGCTGCTGGCATCTGGAGTAGAGGAAGGCTTGTGGGGATCTGATGATGACTCGGGGAGGAGACTGCCAGGATTGAGCTGAACCCTAGCACACCCAGTTGCTGTCAGAATTAGCTGCTGGTGTGAAAAAAAAAAAAAAAGACTACTTATTTGAATGTTTGGATTTTGAGAAATAGGACTGTTGTCTGTTACAGGGTGTTGGTCATTAATCCGGTGGAAGAAATGGATGTATCAGGGAGATAGGCAGATCTAACAACAGGGGATTTTTGATCTCCGATAGTTTTGAGCACAAGCCGTGCAACCAGGCATTGGGACAGGTCTTTCATACGCAGTTGGAACAAAACTGCATTTTCTTGTCCTGGATGCATGTGGAAAGGAGGATATGGGGATTGAAGTGGGCTGGTCGACTAAAGGTGGCCCCCAGGTGGGAGGAGTGATTCTGAGCAGCTGCTGGAAGGAGGCACGGCGGGGATTGCTGAGGGGCATTCCTGCTGAGACCTAGGGGTGGTGTGAACCCCTGAAGAGGACCGTGCTCAGAAATCTGAGTTTGGGAAACAGACCAAAATTAAAGTGCTGGCTGTATCATTCTTTAGCCATGTAGTTTTGTCCTATCACTAAAGCTTTCCAAAACTATGTCCATGTCCTTTGTTAAAGAAGTACATGCTGTGGTCATTCTGGGCGGCTTTAACACAGTGGACTTGGTGGCTTAGACAGCACACATTTATTTTTCACCGTTCTGGAGCCTGGCAGCTCCCAAGACCAGAGTGTCCGCAGATTCGGGACCTGGTGATGGACCAGTTCTGGGCTTGCAGAAGCCTGGCACTCACTGAGTCCCAGCGTGGCAGAGAGAGCTATGGGTCTGTTCCTCTAATAATGTCACCGGTTCCTTCTTGGGGGACCTACTCTCATGACCTCATCTAAGCCACCTCCAGAGACCACCATGTTGGGAAGTAGGGCTTTGACTAGTGGATTTGTGTGGGGGCGGAGGGGACATGGGCACTCAGTCCGTAGCAGTAAATACACCGAAGTCTTTGTAAGGATGAATTAAGTGAATGTATTTAAATTTCCAAGCAGAGAGTCATATTTATTAAACCTTTATTTTGTCTTCCTTATTTTCTGGACTCTAGGTATAAGGAGGTGAGTTAAATCTACTTCTTGTGATATATCATTTTTCCATGAAATACAATTAAGTACTAACAAAATTTTGGTAAGAATTCAAAGTTTGCCAATACTTTATTTATTTTTTTAAAAGATTTTATTTATTTGAGAGACAGAGAGAGATGTAGAGAACAAGTGGGAGGAGGGGCAGAGGGAGAAGCAGACTCCCCGCCAAGCAGGGAGCCCGATGCGGGGCTCGATCCCAGGACCCTGGGACCATGACCTGAGCCGAAGGCAGATGCTTAACTGACAGCTACCCAGGCGCCCCATAAAGTTTACCAATATTTTTAAATGTAAGATTTATGAAATGCTGGGTGTCGTTTGTGCTGGTGATTAACGTAGGACAGTATTCCAGTTACAATTTTACTAAAATGTTAGATTGAACAAATTTCCTTTTAAGATGCTTGCATTCTACATTTTCGAAGTTGGGGACTTTTGGTTTGGGATTTAGAGAAAGAATTAAATAACCCTCTGAAAAACTTGCTGGTTAACTTACAAACTCAATGATTTTCACTTCCTTGTCTGAGGGGCGCCCGGGTGGCACAGTTGGTCTCGGGTTGGGTCGTGATCTCAGAGTCCTGGGATCGAACCCCATGTTGGCCTCCATGCTCAGCATGGGGTCTGCTTGAGAGTCTCTCTTCCTCTGCCCCTCACTCCTGCTCCTGCTGTCTCTCTGTCTCTCTCTGAAATAAGTAAAAGCTTTAAAAAAAAAAAAAAAAACCCAACTTGCTGGTTAACTTACAAACTCTATGATTTTCATTCCCTTATCTGGAAATAGAAAAGAATCTTCATATTTTATTTACTAGCAACGGTAGCCAGAGCCTTCTCACTTTTGCTCCAGGCAGTTGTGAGAGCTGCCCACTTCTCTGAGGGCATGTTCTTGTAGAGGGAGCTGGGGGGTTGCATGCAGGGGTCTCAGGGATTCATGATTAGGGTCTCCAGGAATGGGGGATAAGACTGGAGTCTCTTGGCTTCTCTCTCTTTGCTCAGCTTTTCCTGCATATTGCTTGTACTCTCTGTGAGTGGAGATCCGGAGGAGGCGAGGGGGTGGCTGAATTCTTGAGAATGCAGCCGCAGGTGAGTGGAGATGGGCTCTCGCTCTGTTGCCAGTGGATGGGAAGGCCTCTCTTGGCCTGAGTCTCCTCAGTGCACCCAGGCAATGTTCAGGGAGTTGGGCACTACTTAATTGTTCCCAGGACTTAGGGATGCTTGTGTTTGGTCAGGGATTGATCAGGAAATCATCTCCTTTCCAACATTTACATTCTCAGTCTCCTTGAAGGATGTCCTTTCAGAAAAGAAATTGGCAGAGTTTTCTTTTCTCCTCCATCGTATGGTCTTAGTTGGGAAATGGTGTGCTCATTAGTCCTAGTAATGTGGGGAGGGGTGACGTTCAGCCTGTGAGGGGACAGGTGTTCAAGCTGTGCAGTTTTCCAGAGAACACAAAAAACATCTGTAAGAGAAGAAAGAAGAAATCATGTTTTTCTCTCGATTTTAAACTTAAAACGTTTTGTTAACATGTACTTGAAGTTTGGGAGCTTCCAAAGATGACTAAAATCCTCTTTACTACCTTTATCCCTTTCATGCATTTTCCCTCTTTGTGATTAAACTTTGTTAAAATTGGAAATCTGAAAACAGTGCCCGGGGAGTATTTTTTAAAAATTAGCTGTGCATTAAATTAGAGTAAAATTTAAAATCCTGAAGCAGTTTTTGAAGGACCAAGAGAGGCCAGAACTAATTGAGAGGATTCTCTTGCCTTTGAACAGAAAAACAGGATTAATATACAGAGAATCGATCCAAGGATAATTGCTGTTGAGAATGGAGAGCTCGCTGCAAGAGGGAGCACTGTGGGGCCATCCTTCAGAAGAGCAATCTCAGGAGCCCCTCACGATACTGTCTGCCCTGATCTCTTCTAAAGAACAAGTGAGTTTTGTACGATGAGTGGTGGGCCTTGCTTCATGAGTCTCTGCCTGTTCATATGAGTGGACCGATCACGTGTGTGGTCAGTGTTGGCGCTGAAAGAAGCATTTGCACATTAGCTCAGTGGAAATCGCAGCACCACTATGTATAAGTTCGTTTTTCTAGTAATCTCTATGAACCTGGGGCTCGAACACATGACCCCAAGATCCAGAGTCACATGCTCTTCCAACTGAGCCAGCCAGGTGCCCCTCAGTGCTATTTAATCTAGGTTATAATTGCCAACCAGGAAGTCAAAATTAACAGTTTATTGGGAAATTGCCAGGTGATTTCACATTGAGATTCCTTGATAACGAAGTGATTGTGGGCCTACTGTGTGCGTCTTTCTTTTTGATTGTGTCTGAAAGGCATAGGCAGGTCACGGGAGAACGTGTGATTTGAGCCACATACGGCATTTGACCTCCTATCCACAGTTTCCCCCTTTGCCATCAGTATCCTGTTGACAGTTCTCTCCTATGGATTACTAAGCATGGGCCTGTTGAAACACACTCTTTGTGGTATTCTAGGAATCTGTGACCTTCAAAGATGTAGCCATAGACTTAACCCAGGAGGAGTGGACGCTGATGGACAGGTCCCAGAGGAAGATGTACATTGATGTGATGCTGGAGAACATCACTCATCTGGTCTCCGTGGGTGAGTCGGCCACCATCTGTCCGTTCATTCAGTCATTCGTTCGTTCATTCATCTTTTTATTTATGAACCGTGTAGGCAACAGCTTCCACAAATTCTAACAGCTCTCTGCCCTAACTCATACTCTTTTGTAGCCCTTCTATTCTGACTAGATGAAATTTGTAAATTTCTTGACTGTCATCAAGTGTGTTACATAGTAATTTGAATTACAGTCGTCTTGGCTACAATTGTGTGTCGTCCTGTTGCACTTTCTCCAAGACCCAGAACAATGCTGGGAATACAATGAATAGTTTTTGGTTGGATAAATAAAGATCTTAACTATTTTCTGTTCTGGGCACTATGGTGAAGTTTGAGCACAGTAGAAAATCGAACATCCTGTATCACTTTCCACATAAAACTCCGCAGAATATTCTGGTGGAGCGTATGTTTATTGTCTTCCTTTGGAAATAATGTTACCCGCCCCGTGAGAACACTGATTCCATTCCTTCTGGATGCACACACGGAGCCTTCTGCACTTGCTGAGCTTGGGCAGGAGCGTCAGCAAACAGAAGTGCTGACTGGCCTGGGTGCAGTGTCAGGCTGAGGCCTTTATTGATGTTTCCGGGTCGAAGGTGGTGTTCTCGGGGCTTTTGTGCAGTGCTCACACTGTCCTTCTGCAGCAGCCTGCACAGTAGGATATCATGCACTGTTCTCAGCGCAGAACTCTAAAGTCACGTACCCTTCTCCCATTGATCTAGGGTGTCAGTTCTTCCAATCAGATGTGATCTCCCAGTGGGAACAAGGAGGGGTGCTGTGGAGGGAAGACAGAAGACTTGCCCAAGGCTGGAGTCCAGGTGAGCCGTGGACATAGGCGCTTAGTGAGAGAAGTCTAGTGAGCGAATGAGCGGGATCTTGTTACTGATGTCACGCACGTTTCCTTGAGTGAATGATAGCTTCAGAAGACCAAGTGGCCAGTGAGCCTGCTTTCCTCAGACTTTGTCATTAACTTGTCACACATTGGTTTCTCTTGGTGTGTCTGTACTTACATTGGACCTCAGAGAAGCAATGTTCCCGTCCTCATAGGATGTAAAATTTCACATTGTGGTCTTGGTCATGATTCCTGCTTTTTTTAAATGATTTTAAATGATTTTAAATGATTTCCGCTCCCATATTTTCTACAACAGCCCATCATTATTTTTCTTTTTTGAGATTTTTTCTAATTGATATTATTCTGATTGACATTATTCTAAAGTGCATGTCTATTCACCAGTGTAATCCTCAGTTTCACATTATTTGGTCATGTAGTGGTCAGTGTTAGGAACACACATGGGTCTTGTGTGTTTTTCAACACTTTAGTTCCCCTACTCTACTCAAGATATTTCTTAGGTTTATTTCTTACTATTTTCAATTATTTCAGGCTTGGAAAACAGCCATAAAAAGGAAGAAACAATATCTATGCAAGATATCTTCAAGGAGGACCCATCTAACTGCAACACAATAGTAAGTTTCATGAGGACAAACCTTGCCTGTCCGTGTTGTAGGCCTGGGAGTCGGATATGTTAACAATGCAGAAAAATCACATATTGCCACAGAATGTGGTCAAAAATTTAATTTGGGGAAGAAATTAGCCTGTATTTAAACCTTAACAGCTCTGATAAAAGGATAATTGTATAACTGGTTTATTTGCACGAAACATAATGACATCTTCAAAAGCACTCAGTCCTCCAATAAAGATGCTACCAAGGTGTTCTAGAACAAAAGATTCATGGCAGCCAAACTCTCCGCTTCAAAGGAGAAAAAACACTCCATTGATACTACAAAAATCTAATAGAAACCGAAAGAAGGAAAGGGAGATCTGCCCATAGATGAGGCAGGAGTAAGCAGTAAAGGAGAACAACACAAAGTTACATCACCTTGGGTACTTAGAACATCCAGCCTCATCAGCTGGGGAAGCCCCGGGGAAACAAACAGCCGGGCTGCAGTCCCGATGGAGAGGCCTGGGCAGAGCGTCCTCCGTCCTCACCTCAGCTGAAACTTCCCACTGACCATCCCCACAAGGGCTGTATTTAGAGGGCACATGATGGGGTCGGAAGCTAAACGTTTGTTTGCCTACGTGCAGTTTGCAGTGAGCTGCATTTCTGTGTTATCACGTCTTTGCATCTTCAAGGAGTCGAGGCTGTGTGTGTTTGCCTCCCTCCCAGATTCCGTTCCGGGGGGACAGCCCAGCCTGGAGCAGGAGGGGATGTAAGGCAAGACTTCACAGCTCTTGGCGTCCCGACCAGAAGGGCCTGTTCTGACCTGGAAGCCAGCTAATGTCCACTGACCAGGCTCCCGAGGTCACTCATGCAGCAGGAATCTCACACACGTCATTGTTTAGCCTGTCTGTGTTCGTGCAGGTCGGGGTGGAAGGTTATGTGGGACAAATCACAGAAACCTCCATCCATACAGTACATTCGGTCCTTGAGTTGTCATGCATAATACGATACCATGTGTACCTGCAAGGCACTTTTGGTACATCCACAAGTCCAACAACATATAAATAACAGTGAATGTTGTTATGAGCACAGCACCCTGTAGAAACCCTCCTCAACGGGGTAACCAGTCCAATAAGCTAGAGCAAGTATTAACCTGATTAATTGACAGTTGGTAATGGAAAATTAGCACTGTCACAAGCATAGATTCTCGTTTTAAACTGACATCATTGGGAATTTGCTTTCTCAATTTTACATGTGTATGTTTACCATCATCAGACAAGGTGATAGCTGTTACTCCTAGAGTGAAATTGTAGTGCTCTCGACGAGTTTGGGCAGTGAGGTCAAGAAGATGTCCGACGTGTTTTTGGGAGTAAATCTTGTGTCCATCACGACACCAGCATGTAGGTCCTACATGTAGAGAGCGGTGGGCCCAACAGGGCAGGGTCAGTGGTTGTCCTGCTTTGGTGGAGATAGCCTTGGCTTGAGTCCAGGCGATGGGACAGCATAGAACCCAAACGTGATAGAATGTTTTAGCATCAGAGTACATGAGTATCATCGTAAGCAACCCCTCCTTGAGCAGGTAACTTCAGCAGAAGTGGGAATGTTGTCTGATGGCTTTGGAAGGTAAGTTAGCATCTGAATTAATATTCCAGCATATTAATATTGGCTAGAAGGGTTTTGTCCTACAGCTTATTTGTGAATTAGGGGTCTTAATCTGCCCTAATGGAGTCTCATTTTGACCAATTGGTCTGTCGTTCAGGATTTTTAAAGCCTCCATTAAGTATAAGTTTCATTTTGATGAAGAGCCATCCCCTACTTTTTTTAATTGTTGTTTAAAAAAAATCTGTTTATCTGTGTCATCAGTTCAGCCGCCTGGGGGTAATAGAGAAATATGACAAATCCATTCAGTATTATAGGAGGAGGTAAAAGCTTTTACTAACTTACCTGTCAAGGGGGAGCCGTTATTATTCTGGGTCTGAGTAGGTACATCATCATAGAATAGTCTCTAAGGTTTTGATAGTTTCCTTTTGGGTGGTGTGGGCAAATGGGCCAACTATTAAATACCCAGAGAGTGTCCACTGTCACACAAATCTATTGACAGCCTTGGAAGTAGGGTAATGGCCCCACATAACGTATTTGCCAAATTTGGGCAGGGGGTCTTTGCTGCTGATTCTGTCCCTTGTACTGTTGTGGGATTTCTTGCTTTTGCCAAATCTGACAAGGTGGACATTTTAATACATTTTTTTTCATGGCATCCCGAGTGATGGGTATCCCACAGTCCTGGGCCCACCTGTGAGTAGCCTACCTTCCCGAGGGTCCACTTTTCACCAGTCCGGTGTCAGTCACAGGCTTAACTGTGTTTGCCGTGATTCAGCTAGTGAGTTAGCTACTTTTTTGAAGGTGTGCTCTGTGGAGGTAAGCACACTGAGCATCTACATGAAAAACAGTAATTTTAGTATTTGGGGCCCACTGCCAAATGTCTTCCCATAGGCGTCTTCAATAAAAACTAAGTAGTAACCAGTTGTGAACTGTCACACTAGAATTCTTTGGATGGCAAATTTATGAATCAATTAAGCACAAAGCATGTTTATCAAAAGACTCAAATATCCTTAGTTTCTCTGCAGTAAGAAATCAGAAGTGCAAGCCTGTTTCAGTAATCAGTGCTTTAGCACTTTATCCTATATGGAAAAGACCTAGACATCCAACGAGTTCAATCCCAATTTACCATCCAAGCAAAACTTTAAAGTTCTAGGTTACCAAAGACTTTGAAAGCTAAAGCTATCTTAACAATTACCCATGAAAATTTGGTGACACTAAATTAACCATTATTTTAAGTCATCCTTTTTTTAAATTATGTTAATCACCATACATTACATCATTAGTGTTTGATGTAGTGTTCCATGATTCATCGTTTGTGCATAACACCCAGTGCCCCATGCAGAATGTGCCCTCTTTAAGACCCATCACCAGGCTAACCCATCCCCCCACCCCCTCCCCTCTAGAACCCTCAGTTTGTTTCTCAGAGTCCATAGTCTCTCATGGTTCGTCTCCCCCTCCGATTTCCCCCCCTTCATTTTTCCCTTCCTGCTATCTTCTTTTTTTTTTTAAGTCATCCTTTTGATAAATTGCAACCAAGATAGCATGGGCTTATTTGATCTTTATTAAAACTTTAGGAATTGCAGGGGCGCCTGGGTGGCTCAGTTGTTAATCATCTGCCTTCGGCTCAGGTCATGATCCCAGGGTCCTGGGATCAGGCTCCCTGCTTGGCGGGAAGCCTGCTTCTTCCTCTCGCACTCCCCCTGCTTGTGTTCCCTCTCTCACTCTCTGTCAAAAAATAAATAAAATCTTAAAAAAAAAAAAAACAAGGAATTGCATATAATCTCTAGAAAAATTATAGCATTTACCCAAACAACATAAGGCTTAACATGATTTGTTTGACAGTGCTTTCCAAGTAACTTAACACACCAAATAAAAAGGCCTCGCTCAAAAAGACGTCATTTGCAATTGAAATCTTGGGAAGTTTGTTAAACCCCTAGAAAGTTTTAAAGCACATGCCTAAATTGGATTACAGAATCTTAAAGACCTGATAAAGACAAAACACAGAAACTGGTTTTTCTGAGCAGACAAAAAGAAAACAACTTTATATCTTAGCAAGTGCAGACCAATAATTTGAGAAACTTGTCTTTTGAACAGAGAGAAAAGCAGAATTTTATACCATATACTTTTAAAATCCATTTATTTCAATCTTATTTAGTCTGTCCTTATCATACTTAAAATTCCAAAGATCTCCCTTCACAAACCTTCCACAAGTTTACTTTGCATTCAGATTTTATCCTAAGTTATTTCTCTCCAAACAATCAGTCTCATCCAGAACAAAATTACCTTCTTTTACCTTCAAAAAAATACATTCCTGTTCCTTATATCTTTTTTTTTTTACATATCTCCTACTTTTATACATACAGAGTTGCTTCCATTATTTCCATCCATCTTAGGGTAAGATCTCTTTGAAACTGCCACAGATGTAGCAGTGCATTCAGAATCCACCTTTTTTTAAAACATCATGTAGCACAGTCTCTTGTAATTGTAACATCTCTTCATAGGGCATTCTCTTCTCAGAATCCTCAGAGTATCTCTTCTCACTCTTGCGGGGTGATGCTTCTGCTGCCCTAGGTGTCTCTGAGAGGTGGTGTCCGTCCCCCTGTCATCATCATCCCAGATGTCGCCATCCCACTCACACCCAGCAGCATCCATAGCTACGTGCTCTTTCTTAGTGTCCATCCTCCCTCTCTTTTATTTTTCCCTGGCGAACCATATGGCCATTTTTTCTGCCCCATGCTGATAGGTGTGGACTTGGTAAGTCTGACATGGAAGCATAGCCATTCTAGATTGTAAATCCGCTATTTCCTTTTCTAATTTTAGTTTTTCCTCCTGGCACTTACCACGATGTGATCATTTGTCTATAGGCTGTTAACAAACACCATTCCCAGCAAGCTAGGAATGACCCATCTATCCCAGTTACAGTCCGCAAAGTGTCTATGAGCAGTGGTGGCTCGGCTGACTTCATTTTACCTTCCCATTGTTCACACAGACTGACCTGCTTAGACCATTCTTTTGCCAGTGAGCAAAACTGCAGATCTTCCCACTCAGGAATATCAGCATGAGGGTGGGGTTTCCTCTTCGAAACAGAAAAGTCGTGTCGTGAATCCTGCTGACTACACCAGTTACATTCTACATAAAAGATTGACAGCAGCCATACTCTGTTTCAAAGGGGAAAAAACACTCCATTGATATTATAAAAATCTAATAGAAACCAAAAGAAAAAAAGGGAAGTCTGTGCATAGATGAGGGCAGTAGGAAGCAGTAAAGGAGAATAAGAAAGTTAAATCAACTCTTAGAGTTCTTGGCATCCAGACCAGAAGAAGGGCCAATTCTGACCTGGAAGCCAGCTAATGTCCACTAACCAAGCTCCCGAGGTCACTCGTGCAGCAGGAGTCTCACACACGTCATTGTTTGGCCTGCCTGTGTTCATGCAGGTCGGGGTGGAAGGTTATGTGGGACAAATCACAGAAACCTCCATCCATATAATATGCAAAGGTAAAAATGTGTGTGCAGGAGATGAATACCCCATGTGCACGTAAGTAACCTGGGGAATTAATTGGAGATTATCACTGAGTGGTCAGCCTAGAATTTATACATAGAGAACCTATGGATAAATATTTCTGTGAAGTTCCTATAACAGTCTCATCTCTTTCCCAACAGCAGAAATATCACTCAGGAGAAGACCCGTTTGAACATATTGGGTATGATGAAGTTTTCACTCAAACCTACACATTGACTCAACATGTCTTAACTCACACTGGACAGAGACCCTATAAATGGAGTGAATGTGGGAAACATTTCAGTCATAGAAGCGACCTTTATAGACACCAGAAAACTTACATGGAAGCAAAACCTTATAAATGTAATCAATGTGAGAAATGCTTCCATAATAGAAGGAAGCTTTGCATACACCAGAGAATTCACACAGGAGAGAAACCCTATAAATGTGATGAATGTGGAAAAAACTTCAGTCGAAACTCCCACCTTCGTTCCCATAAAATAACTCACACAGGAGAGAATCCATTTGTTTGTAATCAGTGTGGGAGTCACTTCAGGTATTTTTCATCTTTAACTAGACATAAGCATATTCATTCTGGACAGAAGCCTTATGAATGTCATCTGTGTGGGAAAGCCTTTGTTCAAAGTTCTTATCTTAAACAACATGAGAGAACACACACTGGAGAGAAACCATATAAATGTCTTCTATGTGGAAAAGCCTTTGTTACAAGCTCTAATCTTAGAGAACATGAGAGAAC